CCCCAAAACCCCAAAACCCCAAAACCCCAATGACATCTGCCAGATTGAATAGTACCTCCCAAGTTAGGTTTCAAAGAGGGTTATTATGACTAAACTCCAAGAGAGGTGGCTTTATTCGTCTTCCAAGAGCCTTCCTTGCCTTCTAGTTGTTCTATGCTGATAGTCCTCCTCTACCATCACTTGGGTTTTCTTATAAACAAATTCATAGAATAGGAGAGACAGGATGCCACCGACAAATGGAAATATTAGGAAAATCCAGATGAATTTTATGTGGTTACCTCTTCCATTCATAATCATGGTCATTGCAACTCCGAATCAATAAGCAGGGTTCATAGAACCAGTGACAAATCCATTATAAGTTATCACAGATCCAAGTGCTGCAGCAATGACGAGAGACCATAGAGCCAAGTCTTGAGAACACTTTGTAGATTTTTCTGTCTGGATTAGAAATACAAAGATGTACAAGAAGCTTCCAAAGGTCTCTGAGAGTACAGCTTGAAAAATATAGCTATCATCATTGTATTTCTCCCCGATTCCTAGCATTCCTCCATCCTTAGTAAACAAGTATGCGATGAGGGCTCCACAGAAAGCACCTATAAACTGGACAATAATATAAGCGAAGCCAAGAGGCCAGTGGAATCTCCCTTTATCCTTCCTGAGCATGAAGGTAAGTGTGACTGCTGGGTTGAAGTGACTTCCAGAGATATTCTCACAGATTACCACGATCCACCAGTATGCAAAGACGAACCCGAGCCCAGGGATCATCCTTTGGAATACTGTTAGCATGATCGTTCCTCAGAACTCGAACAGCAGAATTAAAAAGCCTGTTCTATATGGGGCTCATTAGTTGACTGATATCAGGAAGGAGGATTTAGAACGAATTTAAGATATTTTAGAAGATTCTTAAGAATAAATATTGTAAAATTCTAAGATGGTCAAAATTTCCCAACATTACACAGATTTCTAACTTCAGCAGCCAAATGAGGCCTCTTTTTGAAGGAGAGTAATGAGGCTCTGTACCCTTCTTTTAGTACAGATGAGGGGCTTGGAGACCTTCGAAGCCTACCTGAAGACACTCTGAAGAGTATCGCCTTCTCTATCCATTAATATTATAAAGATCAATCTTTTATTTTATCAAAGGGGTTTTGGGGTTTTGGGGTTTTGGGGTTTTGGGGTTTTGGGG